CTAAAGATTTGTTGAGGACAAGTGGCTCCTTTTCAAACATTTTGAATTTTTTAAGAGCTTTTGAAGCCTGGAGAAGTTCACGAATTTGTTGTTATTCATCTGTCTGTTTCTTGTATAAAAATTTCTAAGTAAAGATAAGCTTTAATAATTTTTATTTGTTTAGATCGAGTATGTCCTTTATCTTATAATTGTTATAAAATCTTGGTTAATTAGTTTTTTCAAGTTTTACTAATAAAAGGTTCTAATAGATGTTTGTTTAAGAAGTTAAAGTTTATGTTAGCTTATCCAAAACTCTTTTATAGACTTCAGTATCTTGTCTGGTTTCTGTTTTAATAGAAGTAGAGTTAAATATTAAGTTGATTTTTGGTTCTTTAGTTAGGATGGTATCCAAGAGGATATCCATATTGATAAGGTCAGATGGGAGATCTATTGTAGCATTTACTAGTGTAGTAATATCACTATTATTATTAGAGTCATCAGAATTCTACAAGAAAATACTTTAGAAACAAATTTCTAAGTTGTTCTAAATAGTGGAGTCTTGTTTCCAAATAGTAAGAAAATATTGGAGAGTTTGGATAGTTACAGGTTGCAAGGTGGTGTTATATATTGTTAATTATATATAAATTAGAAATTTCTAAATAATGAGTCTATTTATAATTTTTAAAGTTGTATAATTGTCTGTTTTACAAAATTTTGTTTTTGTCTCTCTCTGTCTAATAAAATTTTTTCCAGAAATTAAAGATTTTTAATTATAACAATTGGTTCCTATATCTGTTTCTCATAGTACTTTGCCAATTAATCATTATTGTAATACTTTTATAAAACTTTTTTTTAATATTCAAAGTTTATAAATGTCATTATTTGTCTTTTCTTGAATAATAAAGGGTCTTTTCTTTCTCTTTTGTCTTCAAATTTAGCTGATCATAACTTTTCTAAAGCCTTTAGTTATATCTAAACTTTTTTACCAATTTCAAATTTTTTTGGTTTGATTCTAATATCAAAATATTCTTTTAGTTTTGGTTGCAACTTTTTAGTATTAACTCAAGCTTCTTCTTGTAATATAGCTATTCTTTTATTAGTTCATAGATTCATTGTAATATACTATCCTGAAAGTGATTTCTACATCAGGGTCTGGCATAGATTAAATAGGCATAATAGTTTCTATTAGTAGTATAGCTTGTCTACCATATACTAATTAAAAGAGTATATAACTAGTAGTAGTATGTCTCTTGATTCAGTATGTCAAAAGAATAGCAGGTATATATAAATCCTATTAATCAGTTTCTTTAAGCTTGACAAGTAATTTACAAAGTGTTCTGTTAAGATGTTCAACTATTCTATTAGTCTGTAGATGGTATAGTAAAGAGAACTTATGCTTAATAAGAAACTTTTTATATAATATTTGAATAGTTTTACTAATAAAGATTTTCTATAGTCTGATAGAATTATCTTGATGTTCTATGTCTACAGATTATTTTTTCAAAAATAAACTTAGCTAAAGTTTTAGCTTAGTATTTAGTATAGCTTGGGCTTCTAACCATCAGGTTAAATAGTTTGTTGCTATAATAATATTATGATTGTTCTGTTTGAATAATAGTAGAGGTACAACTAAATCAATACCAATTTGTTCAAAGGCTCATCTAACTTGAATTGGGTATAAAGGTTTTTTCCTTCTACCTTTCTGTCTTTTCTGAAATTCTTCATATATCTGTATATATTTTTTAATGTCTCAATATATTTAGTTTTAATAATATTATTTAGTTATTTTATAATATATTTGTTTCTAAATATCCAATAGTAGGATGTTTATGCATTATATAGAGAACTGTTTCTACTTCTGTCTATTTGATAACTTGTAAAGGTCTGTCTAGATCTCTTCTATTCTTTTTATTGAGTAAGTAGTATCTAATTTTAAAATATCATATCTGATTAATTAATTGTTTCTTTTAATTCTTGGTAAAGCCTTCTGAAATAGTATCTGTATCTAGGTAATGATATAACTGATAATATTAGTCTAAATTCATAATAACAGAGGTTTTTTAGTCTAAATTTGGAGTTGAGATAAGTAGTAATATTGGAATAAATTCATTCAGACTTATGAATAATCTCAAAATCATATAGTTGCAACTTGAGTATTCATTGTTCTAGTCTTTATTTAGGTTCAGTAGTATATAGAGTATAGTGGTTTATAATTAAAATAAACTTGGTAACTTCAAGATATTTTATAAAAATATTTAATAGTCTATATTATAGCAGCACATTTTAGTTCAATAGTACTATAATTCATTTCATCTTTTTTTAAACTTTACTAGTATAAGCTACAGAATGTTCCTTGTTATGACTATCAAGTTGGCTAAGAGTAGCACCAAATCTATAATAAGAAGCATCAGTTGCTAGTGTGAATACATTTTAAAAATTGGTATATCAGTATATAAGGCTACTAGTGAGTCTTTGTTTAAGCTCAATATAAAAGCTTTATGTTAAACTTCAGTCTACTTATAGCGAATTTTTTTTGTAATAGCTAGTTCAAAGGCTTTATAATTGCAAAGAAGTTGCAAATAAATTGTTTATAATATCCTACCAGTCCTAGAAAGATTATAATTAAGTTATATTCTTAGGAGGTAGAATTTGTTAAACAGCTTTAATTTTCTCTAGGTCGGAGAACAATTCTTTTATATGATATAATGTGTTCTAGAAATAGTAATTTTTGTTTCCAAAATTACATTTCTCAATATTCAATCATAATTCAACTCATTTATTTTAGTAAAAACTTTACAAAGATGTTGCAAGTATTCATCAAAGGTTTTAGATAATACAATAGTATTATCTAAGTATACTACTACAAATCTTCATACAATGTTGTCATAAACTCAATTCATTAATCATTAGAATGTTGCAAAGGCATTACAAAGTCTAAAGAGCATGATATTAAATTCATAAGTTCTATAATAAGTAATAAATACAGTCTTTTTTCAGTCTCTTGGGTGCATAGCTACTTGCCAATATCCACTAGCAAGTTCTAATATAGAGAACCAATAAGATCTAGCTGGAGTATTTAATATCTTATTAATTTGAGGCAATAGGTAAGCATCTTTCTTGATTATGCTATTGAGCTTTCTGTAATCAACACAGAAATGTAATTTGTTATTCTTCTTTTATACTAATACAATAGGTAAGGTCTATAGACTATTTGATTTATTGTTTAGCATTTGTTAGATTTCTTTTTTAACAAATACTTGTTACTTGAAGGTATTAAATAAGGTCAATAATTTATAAAAGGTATATCTTCAATATAAATTTTATAAGTAACTAGGTTAGTTTGTCCTAGTTTATTAATATTTGATGTAAATAGTTCTGCAAATTTTTCTAAGAGTTGTTTGAATCTTCTTTCTTTATCTTCTGAATAAGGTCTAATATTTAAAGAGATTTCTTTTAAGGTTGTATACTCTTCATAAGAGATAAGAATATCAATAGTATATATATTTTGAAGTTAAGTTGAAAATATTAATGTCTGTGTCTTTAGGTAGTTTTTTATCTTGTCTGTGATTATTTAAAAATTTTGTAACTCTGTAAAGACAGCAAATTGAGCAATACACTAGTGGGTATACTGACTATCTTCTTTCCATAGTTATAAATCTGTTGGTTGAAATTCTTAAGAGTATTAACCTTTTGTTGTAGCTATGTAATAAGCTGACTTCAGTAGATAACTTTTTGTTGGAGTTGTAGCAATAAAGATAAAGAAACACATGTTTTGATATAGTAATTGAAGTACTAGAATTTGTTTCTACAACAGAAGTATTAGATCAAGGCTCAGGTAGAAAATTATCAGATTCATGTTCCTCAAGTGGGGTATTAGAACTAAGAGCACGCTGGTCTGGTTCTTCTTCAAGGATTACTTTGAATTAAAGATAAGTAGAAATACTGTAGTATAGTCAGTACAGATTCTATCATGTCTGCCAAGTTTATCTTGGTTCTTAATATGCAGACACACTTTATATAAATTAACAGAATATGTAAATATCGTAGATTAATAAATGTATATAGTTATATACTCAATTCTGCTTAGTAGTTCATTTAGTCTTGCACTCACTTTATACACTACATTTCTTCTTCAAACACTGTTCTCTTCTCAATAATAACTTCTCATGACCTTTTATACTCAAAATACTAAGTCACTATTATTAGTCACAGATTCACTACTCAAAAAATCAAAGAATAAGTTCAATCTGCAAGATCGAATCTCTATTTATTTAATTTTATTGTTTATATCTGATTATATTCTATGATCAGTAATATGATTATAACACATGACATTCATTGAATCCTAACAATATAAAATATAGTGGTATTGTAAAAACTACTACATGAGCTAGATCTCTTAGTACTTCATCTCAAAGTTACTATTATTAATACCATCATTTTTCTTATATTTTTAAAACATAATAGTAACAACTCTATATTCTCTATCTAAAGTTCATCTTATATCTACCTCTATCCCCTAAATTATTATACATCAGAAAATTTTTAAATAGGGTGGATATCGATTAATACCCTAATGTGATAATCGATAAGCATCACCTCCGTGAGTTATCACTGATATGGATTGAAATCAATTGGCAATGAAACTGTTGATTAGAATCGATTAAGATTAGAATCAATTAGCATCAAGTTTATCGATTTGAATTGATTTAATTAAAATCGATTAGCATTGATTAAAATCAATTAGTATTGATTTCAATCAATTATAGTATTTAGTAACTCAAATAATTTGAATATATCATTCAAGTTATTTGTGTGTTAATTATAAATGTTTAAATAAACTATATTATTGCACAGGTCTTATATAACAACACACGTTTAGCTAAATCAGAACATTAATATAAATCAATGATCATTTTTTTTTCCATTTCACACATATCTAACTTTTTTTTTTTAGTTAAAAGCATTGTTGCTTTTGTGTTGCTGTGGCTTTTCTGGTGTTGTTGCTTTTCCTGATGCCATCATTTTTCTGGTGTCATTATTTTTCTGGTGGTGTTGATTCTGATCTCTTTACCTGATATCATCATTTTTCTTGATGTCGTTGTTTTTCCTAATGCTGTCGTTTTTTCCGGTGTCATTGTTTTTCTGGTGTCGTCACTTTCCTGGTGTAGTGCTTTTCCTGGTGTTATTGTTTTTCTTGATGTCATTGCTTTTTCTGATTACATTGATTCTGATCTCTTTTCCTAGTGTTGTCACTTTTCCTGGTGGCATCGCTTTTCCTGATGTCATTGTTTTTCTTGGTGTCGTCATTTTTCTTGGAGCCTTTTTAATAATTTTTAAGTGGGCTTGTTGCTTGGTAAATTTTGCTGTTAGTTTTTATCTGCTTGCGCATATATCTAACTACTCTT